GATTGAAACCTACAGAACCACGACTAATGCGTCAGTTAACAAGCTTTTCACAATACTGACGTTGGTAAAGCTGTTAAACAAATCAGTGCTTACCTTGGAATCGCCATTAAAGTGATAAAGAACTTCTCTGGATTGCCCAACTTCTCAATGTCACCCCTATAGGCATTCAGCGTAGCGATCTAAATTGTAAATTGCAATTCGAAAGTAAATCGATGCTCACAGACAAACAGCCATTGCACAAAACAATTATTTCATTATCTAATTAATGCCTCACACAATGAGGTTACTGTTAATGCCAGTGAGTACAGCGAGTATGTCACGCGACGCATAAGAGTGAGTCGGTTGTTAACCAAGGCAATAAAAACCAAACTACGAATAAGAGCTTAAAGTTCTTAAACGTGCTAAATTATGGTTTTGCACATGCTAAGTAGAAAATGAGCCTAAAATCTGAAATAGCATTATATGCATTAGAACCGACCAGCTTGCCAATTTCAGAGTTCAAACATGATAGGCATGTAAGTAGCAAAAAAGAAGATAGACGAAAATTTTGAGACAGCCACTGCATTTCCGGTAAACTGTATGGACATATAGTTTAACTCAAAGTTCGACAGTGTGAAATATTCCAAAGGGATTTTTAACTTTTAATTGAGGTACCATCGTATAGAAACAGCCGTGTGAACATTGCGATAAACCAATATAGTCAAAGGGCTATTTCGTATCCAATCAGCGTTATTCTCAGTTATGAGTCTTAGAGGGTACGATCCAAACTCTGAGCAACATCTGATCTTATGCGTGGTTCATATCATCATTAATATTCACTGTGGACATACTTCATCCGGCCATCTCAAAGATGAAATAAAATTCTGGTAATCCTATTTCTTTTGGTCCAATCACCGTTCTTTCTCAGAACATGGCCAAAGTGTCACAGTTTCTATTCCTAATGATTTGGAAGAGCGACGGTTAATTCAGAATGACAGCGACATCATGCACAAGTTCAAAACAAGTCGCACCAAGGCAATTAGTCTGATTTCCCAAAGACTAGCATCCAACCAGCAAAATGCGTTAATTTCTCAATTTTCAGACGTTCTCATCAAGTAATTCAGATTGTTCTTGAATTCTTGTCCTCCTCAATTCAAAAAACGAAACTTCACGCGCTTTCATTGAAACTAGCCATTTCTCCATTTCTTTTGGTTTAATACGTGGAGTATCCTTTTCTTAGTCGGCTTCATAAACTGATATTTTTGGATTCACAACAGACCTGCACGAATATCGCAGTTGCCTAAAAGTTTATGCTCAATCCTACTTCGACCAGTTGTCCAATCCTACATTCTAGGCACTGTGTACCCTCAAATTAAAGATTCGACCAATCCCTGCTTAATAAAATTTCAAATCTGCCACTTTACTGTATACTTGTGAGCTTTGTCAAACGCGGTTTTCACGGTCGTAGA